GGATCGTTTCTCTGAGAATCTCAAAGAACGGTAACATCCAACATCTAAAGGCAGCGTTTGGGTGCGTGCATTTATAGAAGTTGAAGGAACTTGTGTGACATGGGGATGGATGCGGGGAGTGACAGGGGGACTGTGTGCCGTCGGGTCCAGGTTGAGATCCGCCCCATAGGATTTCCTTTCTGGAAGAAGCCCGCCAGGGGCTCACACCTTAGACCTGTCAGCTAGCTGCCCAGTGCTTCCCCAACATGCCCCCAGAGCGCCACAATGGAGTTCTGCCCACCGTTAAATCAGCCAACTGGCCAGTCACCTTTGAATCAACAAATGCTTTTCACTCCCCAAAGAAGTCCCTTGAAGTAAGCCCTCAGCCTTTCCGAACCTCTTCCCTGCCTCTCCCCCACCCACCACCCACCCCCTGGCCTCCTTCAGCAAGAGGCCTGCGGCTGCCTGCTTCTCCTTTCTTCCGGCCTAAGCACAGCTTCCAAGGAACTTGGCCCAACCCTGCCCAGCCTTGCACTGTTCCTACCCGCCACCGTGGCTTCTCCCTACCTGCTGCCCCAGGCAGCGCTGCTCCTCAACCTTGGTCCCCAGGGGCCAGTGTTGGCTCTAAGTCTGTGGGGAAGTGCCGCCCCTTGGAGTGCCCGTCCTGGTTCAGTCACAGGTGATGCTCTGAACTCTGGGTGCCACGTTTCCCTAGGGTTTTCCCCCCTCCCCGGGAGGATGATATTTAGGAATGCGTCAGGCCAGCTGAGGCGCTGTGGCGGTGCTCTGGGGACACACCTGGGCTGCTGGCTACAGGTCTGCAGCTCTGACTCCGCAGGAAGGTGCAGCTTGTCTGCTCCTGGAAAGAGCCGCTCTCCTCGGTCCTTCACGGAGGCTAGGGGCCAGAATCCACTCCCCGGCAGTGGGTTAGATGGGGTTGGGTTCTGAGGCGGACGAGCAGAAGAAACTCCATGTTTTAGCTGCTGAATGACCTGCCTCCTTCCCCCTCCCCTCTTGGAAAGCCCCACTAGTGATTGATTTAGAATGTACTCTCATGTACCCAGGTTCTAGACACTACAATTAGTTTAGACGATCTTTCAATATATCGTTTGTTTTAATAGTGTTCCTTTTAATGTTGTGATCTAAATGGTGTAGTTAATCTTGTTATAGCAACCAGGATGTTATAGTCAATGTTGGTATTGTTTCTTTTAGGATAAGAAATGTACCTTGTAATGCATGCCTGCTCTCCTTGAAGTTACCAGAATGTTATAAGCAGTGCTGTACCCTGTAATGCTTCTTAACCCTAAAGAATAGTAACATTAATTTTGCTTTCTGCTTCTGTCCACGCTTGCTTAAGTCTTACACAAAGGATAGGTGAGGGTTTTTTGCCTTAAAAGATGGACTGAAATGTGGACTCAGGACTGCAATCAAAGAATCGCTTTTAGATTCTAGCAGTCTAGTTATAACCGAATAGACTCTTATAATAGTGGCTTTCTTTTATTCGAACCCTCAACGTTTGAAGCCCCGTTGAGAGTTAATTGTGTCTCTGCTCACAGAGACCTCTGTGTCTCTACCTGTCCCTTAGAGAGGCTCTGCAAAGGAAGCTCCACCCCCCAGTAGCCTGATCACATGACCCAAGATTAGCCACCCTTTCTGAAAGGCACCCCAGACAGTGGCTTCTCACACAGAGACTGGGTGACCCCCAGCCAATCTGAGGCAGCTTAGCAGGTTCAGCATGGAGTGCAGTGCAGTGCAGTGCAGTGGGAGCCCTAACTCCATGCGAGAGAAGAGAGAACCAAATTCTCGGGGGCGGGGTGGAGACTCCGTGAGGAGGAGGTCAGAAAGCAAGGCCACCTTTCACCAACCTTTCTATCCAATCTGACCTCTCCGCAGCACTCTACTTCTCTGCTAGGTTAGGTAATTCGCTGTGATTGCAACACAGAACTCACCACTCACCCTTGCAGGGTTTCTTAGGGAAGCAAAAGGGTGCAACCCCACATTAGAAATGGGACCCAGACCGGGAAGCATGCCAGCCAAGTCTCCCTTCTTCAGTGCAGGACAGCCTCGGCCTCTCTCCACACCTCTTGGCCGTGCTCGGCTCCTCCTGGCCCCTCAGGGAGGAGCTACTCTCAGCTCCTTGAGGACAGGCCTTTCCTTAGCCTGGCCTCTGACCTCTTTAGGCAAGTTTTGGCTCTGCCAATGAGTGCTAGGAACACCCCACTCCAACAGCCAGCCTGCTGCCCAAAGGCACTCGCCTCTCTAGCTTGTGCTTTTCCAGTTGGCACACCCACAGCTGCCACCTCGCTCTGGGGAAGCACAGAGGACCTCTCCTACTGGTTCTCCTGGCTCGGCTGTGGCCATTTCTCTGCAGCTGCTTCTGTCTGGGATTACAGCTTCTTCTCCGGCATCACAGCTCTGTGACTGTCCACCGAGTCTAGGATGTTCTCTGAGCAAAGGCGCCAAGTCCAAAGGACTAGCTCTATTGCCGGCTCTTCTTGAAGGTGGGGTGAGGACTCTCCTTCCCATCCTTGGATGTCTTTGAATGACAAAACCCTTGCTAGGGTTCCGAGCGCCTTATTAGCATGGCCCCACCCCTGCAAGTTTCACACACCTTTTTTGCACCCATAGCATTGTATTTGCATAGTCCGACCTAATCACTTGTGTGGGAGTCAAAGGTTTGGGCAAGAAGTCATTGACTGTATTGCAACTACGAACTTTTAGACTCTCTGAATCGGTTAGGCATTTACACAGACCAGCGTTTTAAGGATGTAACGGGACATACAGGGAACGCCCCTACTTCTGACCCTCTCCACCTCCACCTGCAGGTCTCTTCCGAGCGAGTCATACTGCCATTTTCTGATGTGCTTCCAGAGATGGTTTATACAGGAAGTAAGCCCATAGAGTCTTTTTAAAAATAGTTTGGTTGGCATATACTTCACCTATCACACAATTTAATCATCCAATTATATTAGGCAGATTTCGGAACATCCACAAGCCATTTCGGAACATCTTTTCTGGTTCTTCCTGTCCTTAGCTCCCCATTTCCCCCTAGCCTCCCCTGCCATGCCCTTAGGCAATTATCAATCCAGTTACAGTCTCTATAGCTCCACCTATCCTGGATTTCCTAGACAGAAAATTATACACAGCACAAAGAGGAAGCAAACAACAATGACTAGATAAAACATAGAATAAAGCTCAATGAAAAAGAAAGCAGAGAGCCAACAGATCTCTTTCTCTCCATCTGGTCCCTTCTCCCCAAAGGAGGCCCACCTATGTGGGTCCGGCTGTGCTTTATGAGGGCTTTAAAATGCAGTGAGTGAACAGGTAGGTTGTCTTCCGTCTTTACAGTGCCAAATTTAGAGCCTTGCTCCCACCGAGCTGCTGGTGGTTTTGAACTGCTAACATCAAGGCTAACAGCCCAGCATACAACCACTAGGCAACCAGACCTTCCTTAGAGGTTTGCATTGCTATTAAATACAACCCTCAGGACTCCTTAACCGGATCTGAGTACTCCTCAGAGGTCAGCAGATAGAAACCAGGGAGGCAAATTCAAGGCACCTGGAAACTTGGAAGGGAAAGAACTTCCATCTTTATTTTCCCCAAACTCTACCTGAACTGCAACGCTTCACAGGCAACACACGCTTAGCACATTAACAAAATACCTGTGACTGTCTTACTGTAGATGATCGAAGATATCTTGAAATACCATCTCCATTCATCCCTACTTTAACATGAAGGTAAGTAGTTAGTGGATTTTCAATAGATTTGGGTACGTTACGCATGAATAAAGGTGTGTATAGGCTCTATGGACAAATTTGGTTTAAATTTTAGGCCTGTATTTTCATATAACTGGTTTCTTTGTAATCTTCTGTATTTATTGTTATGCTTAAAAGTATTATTCTGAGATAAGAAACATGGTCAGACTCCCAGAGGAGAAGGTGGCGAGTCCCAGCTATACATACTTACTGATTTTGCGTCCCGGGCTTGGCCACTAGATGGGGGTGTTCCAGACTCACTGGGGGGAGGGGGGGGTGTATTCAGCACCTACAGGGCACCTGGCGAGCCTGGCACTGGGCGAGATGCTAGCGATACAAAGATGAGGGATACGCATCTAAGGAACTCGACCTAGTTACAGAGTTAAGCCCAAGGATGCGCCAAGAAGGTGCCCCAACTCCTGACTGGTTTTTTTTCTGTGGCCTGGGGCCAGGTTACCTCCTTTTGGCCCTAACTTCCTCAACAATAAAAACATCTATAGCAGGGGGTCAATTTCTATCATTAGACAGCATGTAGCACAGTGCCTGTCCACATGTTACCCACTGCCATCAAATCGATTCGGACTCATAGCAACACTATAAAGCGTTTGTCTCTGAGACTGTAAATCGCTACTGGTATAGCCCAGTCTCATCTTTGTCCTGCCTGAGCAGCTAGTGGGGTCGAACCGCCAACGTTGAGGTTACCGGGCCAGCACTTAACCCACAGCGCCACCAGAGCTCGCGGAGCACATTGGGCAATCATTTGTCCAATCTTCTCTGTTAGCCACTGTAGCAATCTCATCCTATGGG